CATATGTTGCAACTAATTTTAGCTTATGTTGCAACATTTTGTAAATTTGAAATCAATTGCTGTACCATCTTTAATCCAGATACACTAGGAGTAGTAATGGCATACCTTCTTAGCTATGACTTATCAAATTGGAGTCCAGGAAAAATTCCTACAACTAAAATGAAGATAGAAACAATGCAAAGACAACTTCCTAATCCTATTCGATTTATAATTGATTATATTGTATCTTGACCTGAAAATTGTATTAATAGGTTTAGCTGTGAAAAAATATACCAGAATTATCTTGAATAGTGTGGGTATAATGGGAGAAGCCATTAGCTAAGAAGGATGCTGGAACTAAATTTTCACTAATTAGTATTGATCAGACACATTCACGAAATAATGAAGAGTATATCAATATATACTTAATCATTCTAAAATTATAGCTAAGCTCTGTGAATCTGGCTTAGGTGATATGGAAGAATTTTCTGATACACCTCAACCTAACTTACCCGAAAATGAGATTACAGACATATTCATATTCAATACATCAGAAATTATTTCCCAAAAATAATCCCACCTCAGCCAGAAAAGAATACGCTTTCACCTAATACCAGTAAAGATAAGAAGGTAGATAAACAGGACAATTTGATCCAAGCTCTTTTCGACTATGTGGTAGAAGATACACGTGTTCCAGTCGCATTAACATCTGAGACATCCAGTACATCCAGGACTTCTGAGATTTCTAAGACTCCTGAACCACCTGAGATAGTAAATGATAAGCCTGAAGCTAGTAAGTCATCTGAGCCTATTAAACCTATCAATCAAGTATTGTCTGCTATAGTCCTGGCTAGACAACAGCGTGAAGAGCGCCTTAGAAAATGGGTTATCGATTATAGTAAAGACCCAAATGTCTTTATAACCATCACTGAGAAAGACGGGCTCAATTCCATTACATTTTGGGATAGGATAAAAACTGATACTTGGATGTGTGGTTGGGCAAAAGAAAGTGAAAATGATCCCAAAGAATATATGGACATGACAGTACAAGAAAGACTGATAGGAAAAAATATTATATGTTGTGGTTTTGAGGATGAGGGAGTTACATCCTCCTGGTTTGATACTGACGAGAAATAGAAAAAAACAGTAAGCATACTTCAGGAGAATGGTATGCTTTGGTAAAAAGCAAATAAGAAGCTGGCTTTCTCATTTGTTCCCAATCAAAGATTTCAGGATATATATAGTTAAATTTATTTTTTATCTGATAAAGCATAACCTATTAGTCAAACTTTTTGTTATTACCACCTCGCAGTCTTAGAGAAGGGAGATAGACAAGGGAGAATTATTTATTTTTTCAAATTGAACTTTCTCTGCATAGTATATACCAAACAACTTAGGTATAACCAAATATCTTACATATTACCAAATAAAATATGGTTGGCATCGCTACTCGATATATAACAGAAAACAAACTCAAGATCGAGATGAGTATCGAAGAGCTTAGTAAGCATGCTTCAGCATTAGACATCCTTTTAATAGATAAAGTTAAGAGGGATCAGGCACGATGACGTTTTCAAAAAGGATATAGTTTTAGTAAAGAGCAAGCATGTACATTGGTTCCTCTTCAACCAGCTGGTCAGAAAAAAGGAGGAGCCATACCTAAACCCAAGAATCAGAACTGGATACAGTAAATATATGTCAAATTTCACCAAAAGAGACTATTAGAGATTTGGCCTAACATACAGTATTCTTCAAAAGTAATGGTGGTAGGGATGATACTTAATTTTTTAATTGTAATATCTCTATTATTCTGATTTATCACATTATTTATTAGGTTCAATTGGGTAATGGGATATTATAAATTAAATAAATAAAGTCAAAATGAATTGGTAAATTAATTTATTTCTTGCTATTATATAACATCTAAAAAAACTTTAAAATTTATCTTTTGGATTTGGTTATTTGTTAACCTTAATATATCTTAGACCTTAATATGATTTAATTAAAAATGTTTGGGTTATTTTAAAGAATAATATTAAAAAAAAATATCAAGAAAATGGTAGTATAGAAAAAAAAAGTTTCAAATGAAATTTTTTTTTAATATACAGTAGCGGTCATAAGTATCTGATCGCCTCTAACTTCAGCTACAAGTAAGTAAATTCAAATTTTTTTTTTTATTTAAAAAATACATAACCAACTAACTAAAATTAATATATTGTGTAATCACCATCTGACTCTATAAGTGCAGCTGTATACCTTTTCATGCTAGCTACCAAATTCACGGCAAGTACAGGTGATAATTAGTTCCATTCTTTTGTAAGTTTCTCCTTTAACCCTCTAATTGATTGAATTTTTTTTTTGTATATTAATTTTCATTAACCTTCAAACGTTTTCTATAGGGTTTTGGTCTGGAGACATTGATGGCCAAGAAAGTACCTCAATGCCATTTTCTTTCTTCTATTTTTTCACGATTTTTGATCGATGCTTTGGATCATTATCTTCTTACAAGATCCAATCTATGTTACCTTCACCAAAAAGTTTAGAGGTGGAAGCCAGAAGACCCTGCTCATAAATAGTACACATAAATTCAGCATTAAGATTTCTCTGAAAGCAAAATAGCTTATTAAATCCAGAAGTAGAAAAACATCTCCAAACATGAACTTTTGGTGGATGCTTAACAGAACGAAACACTTTTTTCTACCAGGAAACTGCCAAACCTTTTTTTTTTGATGTATATAATTGAAATGTACTCTCATCTATAAAAACAACTTGATTCCAATCAAAATTCTTATGTTTTTTTACCAATTGCAACCTTTTCTTTCAATGGTCTTCTTTAAGCAAAGGTTTAGAAATTTCATTACTAAACTTTCCTCCAGACTTACGAAGATGTCGCCTTACTATTTCTACACTAATCCCAACACCTCTTTCTTCCATTTTTTCTTGTATTTGAATAGCTGTTATATTATGTTCTTTCTCTGCCATCTTTACAATCTTGTCATCTTATTTCGCCGATGTTACACAAAACCACCCGGTCTTTCTGAAGTACTTAGGTTCCGATTTTCATGATATCTTTTAACCTAATAAATAACTGTAGACTTACTACAACATATCTGCTTAGCAATAAATCCAAAACTAAACTTTGGACCAGCTGGATGCTCACGTAAAAAGACAATTTCATATCATTTCTCTAAAGAAAGTTCTATTTTTCAAGCGAAAGTTTGATGATCATCTAAATTTTTTTTTGTATCATTGACACTTATAAATTTACAGGTAATCATATATTATGTTACATTATATTTCTGGAAAATTTAAGGGGTAATTATATAGTAATTTTGGATGATCTCAGGTGGTCAGATACTTATGACCGCTACTGTAATTAGAAAGGAATGAAAAAATCTTAACAATTCTTTTATAGTTAACTGCATTATAACATGCTAAAATGAATTAAAGTATTAATTGATGCAAATAAAAGATAAATAAAATATTAATTTAATAATAAAAGTTATAGTTATAATTATTGGTTTTTATTTAAAAAAAACTTTTTTTGAGGTTAATTAGAAAAAATTTTTGATAAGTAAAAAATAATAACTGCCATTACTTTTGGCTAGGACTGTATTATCTGAGCGAAAAAAGATGTAAAAGTTATAGCTAAAGTCTTAGCTGAAATGGCCTCTAATGCCAACGCTGGCTTATCGTGTCTCATTAGACTTTGAAGAGAGATGAAAGTCCTCAAAGCCTCGAAAAAAATAATTTCCATTACAAAACTTTCAGATATAACCCGTTCAGCTAATAAAATCCAAAAGGAGCGTAGTAAACAATGTGAAGATGAAGGATCGATTATCCGGACCACTTCTCGTTAGAATTGGTTAAGGAGAGATTGGATATGTATAATGTATCTAAAGTCTTAGCTTACAAGTCCTTGCCGATGTAACGATAATGTTCTGCATTCATCCTGCTGAAATAAAAACCTTGCGTATATCTAATAGAGGTGTAACTGGATATGTAAAAAATCGAGAACAATAAGACATTCTTGAGTATTTAGATCACTAGAGAAGAGTGAGGAGCGAGCTAGACAAATTGCTTATATGGATTCAGAATGTGATTTCTTTCAGACAGTTACGAGACTCTGGAAAGTCCAGAGTATTGTGATCCAATATATTTCTGAAAAAAGATGAGCTCCTTTCTGAAACTGGCAAACTACTACTTTCTAGTAGTTTACGTAAATTAGAAGCAGTATTTGCAATTGTATCACATGGTGCGAAGAATTTATCAGAGGCTATGACTATTACCAATGAAGTACTTCACCACAGTCCTAACAATCGTGCCTTTCCTGCAAAAAACTATACTATAGTAAATTATCAGTTAAGGGGAGAACTGTATCATCAGGCAAAAGCATTCAAGATCTTTAATGAAAACTAATCACATATATGGATTAGAGGATCAGAAGATCTGATTTATTAGTCTAATATCATTTATTAATTTTATTTTTCGTTCGCCTAAGATATATCATATATAAAATATCGCAAAAAATGGTAACCGACTAAAATCACTTATATAATAGTGCATCTATTGAGCAGGAAGTTTTCAGATATAAGAAAATTGCTAATCGAATTGCAGATATGCATAGTGCACTTTCTAAAAAAATGGGAGCACTAGATGAAAAAATAGATAACTACTATTCTGAGTATAAAAAGTTGGTAAAAAGGCTAGAAAGAGATGTGAGAACTGTAGAGAGTGAATTAAAAGTTCGGGACGATTGTGTGGATAGGGAAAGTGTGATCGACTTAATACAAGAAATTGTTCCCTTGCTGGTTAGAGAAAAAAGCTTAATAAAGAATAATTTTTCCTTCTCTTCATCTGAGTCTTCCGAAGAATCTGATTCAGCTGGAATAATTATACAAATAAATGGAAAGAAAATGCTGATTCCTCATAAGCAACGAAGGAAGGTATGACCAAAAAGGTTAAGCGGATGGTAGTTTAAAGTGGACTGAGTCAGGCACTTTGCATATTTTTTGATTAAAGATATTAAGATTAATACATTAATAATCAAAATGAAAAGTGACCAAAGCATTTGACAGCCTTAACCAATATTCCGCCCAACTCTACTTCATCTGAAACTAGTTTATCTGAATCAAGCTCATCCGAGGCTAGTTCGTCTAAATCTAGTTTATTATCTAAGAGTAATTCATCTGAATCCAGTACATTTGAGAGTTGTTTCTCTGAGACTAGCTCATCTGAATCCAATTCGTCTGATTCTGATATTTATGAAATAGTAAATATGGTTAAGCATCAAAGGATTTGGAAGAGTCTAGCTCAAAGAAAATATTCAGAAGAAAATACATATAATAAAAATAAGGCTAGTAACTATTCGGTAAATACCAGACCGCAGTGATAGAGGTTGGTCCCTTTAGAACTGGTTTATTTTTTATATTTGGATATTATTTTTTTTTCTTCGCTAGAATAAATTAAGAATTTATTAACATATCTATATGAGCAATATAGCACAAGTCGATCAATCTGATATACGGAAGTTGAAAATGAGACATGCATTTTTAAAAAGATTAATACCAAAGAATCAACTTGCAATAGAGGAGTCTGAAGATTTATTCGATTTCATTGAATGGGAAAAGAGACTAATTTAATAATTACATGTAAACATGCAGGTAGTTGGTCTTATAATACTACTATCAGCTCAGGTCATATTGTTCCAGTTATAACTGAAGAAGATGTGAAATGCTTAGGATTAAAGATTAATTGGATCAGTTTGCAGTGGTGATTGTGTAATTTTATTTTTTCGTTTGAAGATACAATGTATAATATAGATTATTAATGGCGCAATCAACCATCTTTTATTTACCAGAACTATTAGAATATATTTTACATTTCTTAGCAATAGATAAGACACTATATTCCGCTCTATATGTTTCCTGATTGTGATACAGATGTGTGCTCCTATTTTATGGAAGCGTATTGAGTTAAAGGGAAAAGACTTATATTGTGGGCAATCTCTTTCAGATGATTATAATTACTGTGCAAAAGATCACCCCCGATTTAATAAATTCATAAGGATAGAACGTACAAAGGATCTCTCTCAATTGAAAAATTTATAAAGCTAGTACGTAGCAAGCAAATGCCAGTTTATTGCTCAAGTGTAACTCATCTCAAAATATCATACTACCATTCACTTTCAGATAAAAAAATCATAAGTATTGTACATTTATGTCCAAATATAATCCATTTGAGTTTCATATATATTAAAGGATTTAGTAATAAAGTATTAGAACTGATAGCGTGTTCATACTCAAATCTGAAGTATCTCAATCTGTGTGATGATCAGTCAGGTAGTTTTAGGAACTTTCATGTTCAAGAAGTAGATGATGGAGATCTATGGGAAATCATAAAGTTATGCCATAAATTAGAATATTTAAATATTGCCTATCGCAGAGGGATTACTGAACATTCAATTTGCGGTATTATTCATTCCTCTCTGAGACTCTAGCATTTTGACATTACCTTTTGTGAAATTACTGATATAATAATTAAAGAAATTGCTAATTCGTTTCTTAATTTAAAGTATCTCAATTTAGAAGGGTGTAATAATATTAGCAAAGAAACTGTAGATCAGTTTGTTTTACTTAATCCAAATATTCATGTTGAGAATTTCATGAACACTTTATCGTCTCCTGATTTTATTAACACACTTAGAGATTATCTTAATTAGCACAATACAGTCAACCCTTGATATAACGAATTTTATGTCCTGAACTTCAACTTCGCTATAGAGCTATAGTGAATTTT